GCACCACCTAATTTCGTGCCGAAAATGACGCAAAACCAATCGCATTAACAAGCTCCCCGGGGGCCGGAACGCCCCTTTTGAAATCTTACTAGAAAATTTGAAAATGCAATTTTGACTGACTGCTGCTGCTGCTGGTGGTGGCTGCTGATGGCTGCTGCTGGTGGCTGCTGCTGCTGCTGCCATCAACCAGCCTCTAAAGCAAGAAACCAACAACCAGACACCTTTTTCGAAACACATCCGAAACAGCAAAACACAACCTAATTTCGCGTCGAAAATGACGCAGAATCAGTCGCCAAGTTCCCCGGGGGCCGAAACATCCCTTCTGAAATCCTACTAGAAATCCAATTTTGATCTCCAATTTTGATTGCTGCTGCTGCTGGTGGCTTCTGCCAGGCATCTTTTTCGAAACATTTTCGAAACGGCAAAGCATTGGATGTACGCCCTGGCGTCCCTTGGGCTCCGCCTCTTTTGCGTGGCAGGCGTGGGGCAATATGCACTGCCCTGGCGTCCCTTGGGCTCCGCCTCTTTTGCGTGGCAGGCGTGGGACAATGTGCATTGCCACGGGGTCGGCCACTGCAACCGATTTGCCAGAAACAACAAAAGAGGACACGAAAGAATGCCAAGAAGTAACAAATACCTCATTACGAACGTATGTCCGTCCAGCCTGCGGCAAAGCTACAGAATCCACCATAGTTACCGGAAAGGTGCAAACACAAGGACACTGCGGTCGACAGTTTCGTGTCAAGAATGGTGCAGTATGTAGGCAGTATGCCCATTATTGCCCGGCCTGCAACACGAAGGTGGCATCAACAAAATCACACGGACGAATTCAATCGAAGCACAGAAATGACACAGGACGATATTGTAAAACATATCCGTGGACCAGTGCCGGCGCAAAGTAAGCTTTTGTGTTTGAATTATTCTTCTCCTCCTCCTCCTTCTCCTCCTTCTCCTCCTTCTCCTCCTTCTTCTTCTTCTTCTTTTTCTTTTTCTTCTTCTTCTGTTGTTGTTGTTGTTGATGTTGTTGTTGTTGTTGATAATGATGATGTTGATGTTGATGTTGTTGCTGTTGCTGTT